AAGATAATAAAACCGACCTACATATTAAGGAAGGGAAATCTGGAACATTCGGAGAAAACCTACACAGGCAACAAAAACAATCAGATAGGCTGTGGAGGAAGTCAGGCAACGTGTGCTGACACAATTCAAACACACTGTTCTTTGACCACTTTGCCAAAGGGCAGCAAACAACTGTTCTCTTCTTTCCTGACAGTCTTATAAACCTTCAACAACTGACAACAGGTTCTTAAGTCACATTTTTCTAAGTTAAACCCACCAGACGTTTACTGCTATCCATCACAATAGTTAAGGTGTACAAGCATGGCAAGATTTATTTTCTTCACATCTTTTATCCCCTTTTTATGTCAGCTGTGCAAGTACCCATTGCTTCCAAGTACATTATTTTATGGTAGATATATGTGTTTTGTACTGAACTCAGGCTAGGTTGTGGGTCTGTGACCCTGCAGATGCTGACGGCAGTTCCCATGATCCTTCACTATCAAAGGATCATGCTGGCTAGTGGTGAATGGGAATTGTGCTCCAACAGTGTATTGAAAACCATGGTTGCCCATCTATGGACTATATACTTATTTAAAACCATATCCTTAAAACATCAGCTACAATTTGTTGTTGATTACTTATTCAGGCAACTTTTTCTCTAGAACCTGAATGCCGGTGACATAGTACTTAGTTCTGTGTCTTGATTTCATCATTAGTTCACAATGGAAGACAAGACATTGATTTGTCTGTTACAATTTCCAGTTATAGTTCTATCCATCACAATCTATAAGTGTGGCAAGATCTTTTAGAAAGAGAGTTATTAATTAGGCTCCTGATAGAATCTACAGTATTTGTATTGTTCTTACTACTCAAACTGATGAGCAGTCTGAACATAAATGATCATAGAAAAAGACTTGCATAAATGTTACTGCCTGTAGGCCCAGGTCCAATGTCCAGATTAACACGGGTTAATGCAATCTTCCATTTGTGAAGTATCTATCATTGTTTCAATCCTTATAATACAATTTAACTCTTCTGCAAGTGTTAAAAGCCTAGCTAACATGATGATAAATGTTTATTTGAAAAAAGGTGCCGAACTTTGCTGGATTTGTTATAATCATTTCTTGACATCAAGTCAACTTCTTTACTTTCCAATGGGTATTTCATGGTAATATGTAGTTAGACATTAGTTGATGACGTACTCAAATGTCATCTGTCCTCATTTGAAGCCTGAAAAGGAAACAGTGATGCTGAATGATTGATCTGTTTCACCTCTCATATTGCATAATTGGCCAAAGACAAAAGATGTTGGTCAGAATACAAGGTGAAGAACTGTAGCATAATGGTAGTCATTGCAGTGAGCAGAGAGGCAACAATTGGTTACTGTTGGACTGATTGACAGTTAGCCCAGCCAAGAACAGTCCCTCTTAAAGGCAACATATAAAGTTGAAAAAAAGAATTCCAACACATTCACCATTTTTGGATCTATTCTTGTGACTGATGGAAATAAAAGAACCCTTGAAAACAGGAAAAGTCAGAGTCAATATTGGAATAACTGACTCCAAGCCAGCCAGTTTGGGTTCAATCCATTTTTTGCACACCATCTGACAATGGGTGTGTAGAAAAAACACTTACATACATTCCAGTTACCCTTGCAAGAAGCTGATAGGATAGAGAGAGAAATTCCTCACACTACTGTAAGTCTGCTTTTGTACAAATGATTTTCCATCCCTCAAACCAGAGGTTCACTTCTGTCTAGTAAATGATATCCTTAGCATGTTTTTAGAAAAGGCACTGATGCAAGTGGTGAAAGATAACTGTAATTTTTCTCACCTAAGTATCTTGCAATGAACATCCTTTGTTTTATGACTGATTGGTCACTGAGCAGTAAACATGAATTTAATTTGTAAGTCTGAATGCTTAGGCACTTATTTCACAGGAAATTCCATTGTGGAAAGAAAACGTGTTAATTACAGATTACTCATTTCAGGCTTTGACAAGGATCACATCTAATAAATATCCATGAAATTCCATACAAATAAAAACACTATTCCAGAAGCAAAAGGTATATTTCATGCATTTTCAGATGGTTTCTGTCTGTATTGTAACAGACATCATTGTAGAAGTACTTGTTCCCTTGTGCTAGAGAAGAAAGGACTCCTTTAAAATGTTATTGCAATCTCAAGTGTTTGTAAATCTTTAGAAATGCATACTTTTGTAAAAAATAAATAAAAATACATAGTTAAATAGATACTGAAGCATGACCTATTTAATTACAGATTGAACCAGAAACAGGATATGACATAGGAATGAACACATGTCAAACTGACACAGACAGGAAATAGACTATAGAAAAGAGAATGTATGTTCATCCTTGGGCTAGAGAATGTTAACGACACTTTAGATCTGGATTTCCTAGATTGAGGGGGGGACTGGATTTGGCAGAATAACAACCTCTTCAATTCTGTAACTAAATAATGACCACAGGAAACTGATGGGGCCAAATTATCTTGTGATGACTTTATCATTTCAAACTACAATACGGGTTAAAAGTAAAAGTAATCATGAAAAAAGTAAAGATTCATCTATGTATTTATTTTAAACAAGAGGCAGGCTTGTCATAAAGTGTATTCAAGCAGGTAATTTAAAAGTAATTAAAGGTAATTTAGAGGCAAAGAGGCAGTCCCAAAACCAGCAAAATCAGGGAGCTGGACAGGGGACAGATTGTATTTGTCTTCAGTGTGGAAGGGATTGTCACTCCCGAATTGGCCTTCTCAGCCACACTAGACGCTGTTCCAAGACCTCTATTCAGAGCACATTACCATAGTCTCTCAAGACTGAAGGATGCCTACATGAAAAGGTAATTGCAACTCCTTGCCTACTGCACCTGTCAGATGCAGATGTTCGCAACATGTTTGTTATATTCACAAGTTTGTGAATATAACACATATATATTCACAATATATTCAAGTTTGTGAATATAACATGTGTACATAATGGCTGGAATCCTGTGGCTTAGTATAAGAAAATTTGTAACTTTCAGTCCATTCAAACCAGAAAATTAAAAGGCCCCACTGCAATTTTCTGGGACATGTGTTTAGCCAGCATGTGCCCTCCTGTCCCCTGAGGATCTCTGGACAGATTATATCTGCTGGCTAGAAACAGACTGAAAGTTATGGATTTTCTTACACTTAGCAACAGGGTTTCAACAATGAGTTTTACATTTAAATGACTCTTCTGGTCCACTCACCTTCAAATTCGCATGGATACCACTGGACATAATAGTACTGTCTTGTGAAAGCCAAAAATGTAGAGGGCTGTTCTTGTGAAATACACTGCTCTCTGTCTCGGGGGAAGAATCTCCATTTCAGCAACCTTTGGGGGTCATGGGACCAGAAAGGGGATGTTGATCCCCTTTAAAGTGAGAACTGCTCTTCTGAAGGTATAAAACTACCACAGCACACCATACCGAGCATGATCCCACCATTTCTTAGTAAGTACTTCATGAAGAGAGAGAAAACCCCTACTCTCTTCTAGTGTGAGAGGTATTCTCCTCCCACCACTGGAGTGCTGCATCACTGGATAAAATATTGGGCACCGAATATCACCTTTTACATACAAAAAAAAAGGTAAACGTTCCCCTTGACAATTTTGTCCAGTTGTGTCTGACTCTAGGCAGCGGTGCTCATCTCCGTTTCCAACCCATAGAGCTAGTGTTTGTCCGCAGACAATCCTCCGTGGTCATGTGGCCAGCGTGACTAGACATGGAATGCCGTTTACCTTCCCACTGAGGAGGGACCTATTTATCTACTCATATTTTTGCATTTTTACATGTTTTTGAACTGCTAGGTTAGCGGGAGCTGGGACAAGCGACGGGGGCTCACTCCGCCGTGTGGATTCGATCTTACGACTGCAGGTCTTCTGACCTTGCAGCACAGAGGCTTAGCAGTTTAACCCACAGCGCCACCACGTGCCTTTTACAGACAAAGGGAAAAGACATTGTGTCTCCTTCCATCCTCCCTTAATAACCTGCCATTGAATAATTTCTCCCTTAGTATAGGAAATATAGACACTAGTTATGGACTAATATGTTGAGTATGGCAGTGATGGTGGGGAGCCTATGTCCTTGCAGGCTGGGCACATTCCATGTCAGAAACACAAGGAGCAAATGACATCCAGAGCCCCTGCCCCCAACAGGGATCCATATGAGAACAATGAAACATGGGGGGCGGGGGGTCAGATTCTGTGTGTACATAGCTGTTGTTTCCCCCCAGCTGAACTGTATTTCAAAGCAGAAAGCAAAGAAACAAGCAAACAAAAGAAATTGAGAAAAAGAGAAGAAAGGTTAACTGTGTATGTGCACTATTGTGTGCCCTAGGTTTGTTTGTTTTTCAAAGGTGTTTCTTGATTGGTTCCCTTCAGTACTTTAGTTATATTTTCAGATAATAAGCCACCCACTCAAGCAGCCATATTAATTGAATTGCCCTTGTAAACAAAGCACTGTCGTGGGGAGTATGTTTCAAAAGGAAAAAGCCTTCCTCCCCCACCTCTATGTTTAACAGCACAGTACAATTACTGCTGCTATACTAATATCCAATCTACTTTAACAATAATAAACAGCCAGAAATTTAAAAAATAGGATCATAGAAGGAGGGTTGTTTCACAGAGAAGAACATTCTAGGTACTTCTGGAGCTTCTAGGCTATAGGTGTAACAAATAAATGCAAAAAGGTAGAAGCCAAAGGAAGAGACATGTTCTTATAGGGCCACTCCTTGTGTCAAATGTGGCTTAAGGAATGGGCCAAAGTTAAGGATCAGAGCCCACGTTTTGCATCATACCATGCAAAAGGTTCCAGGTTCAACATCTGACATGCGCAGGGCTGAGCAGGAGTTCTGTCTGGAGAGTTGCTGCCAGCCAGTGTCAGTGATGCTGAGCAAGATGAACCAATAGACAGACTCAGTATAGGCAGTAATTTGGGGTACATATATTTGGGGTTTTTATTACTTTGTTTCTTCCTCTAGGAGAAGCTCAAGAGAGAAAGAGGGAGAGATGGCCAAATTGACAGAATCAATGAGTGAGTACTAACAGGAAAAGCAATTTCTCATTTTTTTCCTACAGTCTTTTTTAGAAAAGAGTACTAGCTATGGATATTTGCCACCCAAATCCTGTATCACTCTCACTTCCATTAGAATAATGCCAACTCTCACATATACACACGCAAAAAAGGCTGACAGCATGGTCATATATTCATACACACAGTACCTCGTTACTTTTAAAAAATGTTGAAAGGTACAAAATTCTCCTAATAGAATACTGATGCTGACAGGAGTCAATGTGCCTGACCTAGCCACTCAGCACTCTGAAGCATTGTGACTACAAGTATAGTCACCAAAACTGTGGTTGGCTAAGGGGGGGGATTAGGGTGGACTCTTGTAATAACCCATAGGCAAGGCATGCGAAACTAGGAAGAATTCTTCCCACACTATGTACCAGAACTTATGCAACAAGAAGGCTCACCAGTTGAGATGCTGGTGCTTCCCCTGCCTTACATGGTATGGCATAGCATGATGGGCCAATGCCAGAAAGCTAAAGGTAAAGGGAAGGGACTGAAGAATGAGGCAAGGGGTGCACATACTTAAGCCTATAATGCCATTTAGAACAACATATATATAAGCCCCTTCACACTGAGAAAGTGAGCATTGACATCTATTGGGGTAGAGATATGTACCTCAATCTTAAAGCTACATGTCCAAATAAAACTTTCTTCTCCTCCATCACTTTATCCTGATATTTGTCTCTCAATCTGAAGACCAGGCAAAGCATAACAATTTCCTGAGACTTCAGCCAGCATCCTTACATGTAGCAACTCTGAACAGGGCCCGTTTAGTGAATAGGGGGCCAACCATCATTGGAGCCTCAAACTTGACCCTATTTTTGTTAAAAAGAATAGCTTTTGCCCTCGATTCTTTCATACTGAATACAGTAATTCTGAAACTTCCAGAGAGCTGTACAGTGATGGTTCGTAGACCACTGGCCAGGCTGTGCTTTAAAGATAACAACAAATAAGAAAGTAGAGAAGCAAATCCCTAGAGTAGATTTAGGTAGTGTGTGTGTTTCTTTGCAAGACAAGAACAGTCCTAAAACTGCTTAAGCCAGTGAAGCTGCACATTGCTAATGCAGCTCCACTGATGCAAGCAAACTCAAAACCACTATCTAAAAAGTGGCATTTAGGCAATAACTCTATTGAAATGTTGGCTTCTGCTCTTGCTTTTGCTTTCAGCACGTTATGTTTAAGCTTTTCACCTCTCTTTATAACATCACTACAGTATGATGGTATGGTTTACACATATTTTCCCAATGTACAAAAAGCTACCAATTTGAAGATTTGTAGAAGAGCTGCAAACAAATCATTCTCATCACAGGTGCTCATCTCAATGCCCCTTCAAAGTAAAAGCTAAGTGTTGCTCATATCCATTTGTTCATCAGGATGTAAATCCTTGCAATCCATATTAGCAAGAATGTTGGGGAATTTCCTCTCACTTCCAAAAAAGAATGCTATTTTATGTAAAAATGTTAGATTTTAGCCAATATTCTGCAATTTGAACTATTCAGGCCATGGAAGAATTCATCATTACTCAAAATTGATGGACGGACGGACGGACAGACGGATGGGTGGGTGGGTGGATGGATACGTCAACTTTCTCCCCATAGGGGATTCTGATAATTGCTTTGGCATATAAGAGTTTGAAGCACTAGATGGTTTGTTTTCCTCTTTCTTAACAATCATCCAGTTATTCCATGCTTGCTGCATGCATGTTTTGGTTCTCAAAGGGAAATGACACTGGAAACAAATTACCCAAATTATAGAGACCATGAGGTAGAAAAAAGAGCTCTTTGTCTTGATCTTGAACTTAAATCAAGAAATCTCAAAGGACTTTAAAATCCTTCATCATGCTGACTAGTCATGACAAGCCAGCCTAAAATTTAAGAGCAAGGATCTTAGTGTTCTTTATATCCCAGCTTCCCAGCAGAAGGGGAAATTAAGATGGCTAGCAATAACAAAATGTACATTACAAACAAAATGTTAATTACAACAAATAAATTAAAATTGCAACAACTGAAGACATAGGATTGAATCCAATATTGTACTGGCAGGTCTCCTACTTCCAGTCAACGTTTGCTGGTCTTTTCAGACTCATATGCTACCATTCTAGGTTTCTTTGTTTATTTTCAAATATTGTTGTCATTTTATTGGCAATGTGGTGTTAGCCAACCATGCCTCTCTTTGCCATTTTCATGATATCATGCCATATTGTCAAATTTATTTGAATTCAGAGTGAGGCTAATGTTGCCCACCCTTACTCTGAATGAGATTACATCATGTGGCCACAATCAGATAAATAGGTGATAAAACTACAAAGTCAGTGAACACTGTTACAGAAGTACATTGAATGTGAAGGATGTGGATGTGAAGGAGAGGGATGTGTTTCAAGTGTAATGTGCTATGTTTTCATGTTATGGATGCTATGTTCTTGTGTTTTTTTATTATGTGTACTGGAGATGGCATTTAATTTCATTGTATGGAAGTACAATGACAATAAAGTAAAGTCTATTCTATTCTAAACACACACAAATAATCAGTGAGCCCTCCCCCCAGAATATATTCTTGTTCCAGCTTTTTTTCCTTTTTCTTTGTCTATTGCCTTGGCATCAGGGAAGACAAAACAGAGCTAGATTCCTGCATCTACTATTTCCATCCTAAGACCACACCTGTCTGCATCAGTGCTTATCTGATCTGATGAGAAAGGAGGAAGAACAGAAAGATTACAGTCCTTGTCCTACCTTTACACTTTCATCATTTATGCTCCTAACAATGTGCACCAGCTTATCTTATAACAACAAACTGTCAGACAAAGCCACGCTCAGGACACATTTGTAAACTATATTCTTCCTCAAAGAGATGCGTTTTTCTTTCTGTGGTTCATGAATATAGAAAGAGGAGTTGAAATACACAGACTCTGTTTTCCAAAGTGCGTAATCTGGATGTGCAGGTCGCTTTTGTCTTTGTTGATCAAAACTCGTTGTATGGAATTCATTTTCACATGAATTACACTTGCCCTCCTCAGTTCAGGGTTTCAAACAGACATTTAAAAACAGGATCTTTAATTCTGTTCTCGTCAAACAATGTGACAGCTTTCAAATACTTCAGACTGCTGCTCATTTGGTTCGACTGCTGTGTCATTGTTTACCATTTCCTGCTATATATGCCCCTAGTGGCCTAAAAACATGTAACTAATTAATTAAGGGGCAGACAGGATATTTGTTTGTGAATCAAACAATTTTCTTAAAAGCCAACCACACCATTGGCAACTCAAAGCAATATATAGAATTATTTTAGAACAAATGGAACATTTTGAACACATTTTTATGGAACCTTTATGTAAAGTCCTGTTCCATGGGCAAACTGTGTTGTGGACATGACCCTGGATTCTCAAAGGAAACACAAGAGGACATAAACTCTGGCAGGATCAAGCAAATAAGGTTATGGGTATACTTTCAGAAGCAGATTGTGTGTCTGTTGTCCCCAGACATAGCTAGCAACAAACACAGAGGGTCATCATCAGAAAGATGTCAAAGATGTGACAAATTGGTCACAGCAATGATGCATGGAATACCTGGGAGCAGCACTGGAGAAAATCTTACTCATGTAGGTGAAAGTCACAAGACTTCCAGGCATTTGTGGAATGTAGTAGTGGTTCTAAGATTAAAAAGGAAGAGAGAAACACCCACCCACATCACCATTTATGGTGAGGGCAAACCAATCTAAAGCTATAAAAGGGACCATGAATCTATGGACAAAATTGGATTTTAGAGCTTGCCTGTAACTAATGATAGCATTTGAGTATCTCAACATCATTCTTTCACCTCCAAGACTATGCCAGTTAGCTGATTTTGTTTGGTGGTGGGTCTTCAGGACATAAGCCTGGGATCCCTTTGAGTCTGATTTTCTGCAAACATGTAAAAGACTGGTGGGTCTTCAGGACATAAGCCTGGGATTGAGTCTGATTTTCTGCAAACATGTGAAAGATTGCCTCAGTCACCTCTTTGTACCATTAACATGCTTTCTGCTCTAATTAACGGGCTATCATTAACATCTGATTCTGGCTTATTACCAACTGACACTCAAGGAGGGCCAATGGGTAGGGAAGAGCAACCAGAGTCTGAATAGTTTGAAGAACTAGTGTATACTCTAGTAGAATTGATTCATTTATTTGCAGTCTTATAGCTGTGAATGAAAAAGTCTGTGTATAATAAAGATAAAGGAAACAAGCTCACTTGAGTTTTGCTGACATTTACCCTCTTTGAGCAAGCAGATCTAAAACAACAGTAATAGTCTCACAAATCAAAATCCACCTAATCCCAAATAAGTGTTTATCTTTACATAAAATCCACAAGTTTCCAAAATAGTTTTTATCTACTTTGGACTTAACATTTCAAAAATATGAGTTCACAGGGTCCAATAAATACTCATCTGAGACAATAAAATAGGGCAAGTTTAGAAAATAATCCCAATTAGGATATTGATTTAAATAGATCAATTGCTTGCAGAATGAAACACTAAGAGTAGTAAAATGGTTGAATAATTATTTGATATTTTGACCAGGTTTTAAAAAGTGTGGCTTGCACAGTCTTTATTGCAGTGTCCAAAACAGTGAATTTTGGTCCCAGAAGATAAATATGGCAAGACAAATTATATAGATTTTTGGACCATTTCTCAGGGAAGAATTATTTTGAAATGAATGTGCTACAGATGCAAGTAATAGTTGTTCACTGTGCATTAGTCCACAAGTACAATCATCTTGCAGATTCTTACTTGGAGATAAAATGAGCTGAGAGACTCTTGAATCAATGGCAGCAAAATCTTTCTCATAAAAATCAATGACTGAAAAGCAATTCTCCCAATGAATGGGGGAAAGGGTTTGTCTGTTCTGCATGATTTAGTACTTCTTGGCAAGAAAAAATGGACATCACTTACAGTCACCCCTGTAATATCTTACAGATGCTATAAAAATG